ACCTACTTGAGTTTATCTGTCGAAATTCGCTTAGGTACCTACAACCGAAAAAAAAATATTTATAAAATATAATATATGTATATTAATTATACATATATACGTGAGATAATATACATATTATATAAGTAGTGTAGTTCGTAAAGAACTAAAATGTGAAACACTCAAACAATCATTCAAACTGTCATTCCTTCTAATTTTGAGAATTGATTGAAATAGTGTGAAGGACATATAATTGCCAATTGAAATAATAATATTGTTCGATGAAAATACAATAATATTGTGTTTTTTTTCCTACGTAGTATAGCAACGTTTTTTGAACTTCTATTTAGAAGTCAACGTACAATCACCGTCGGGTTTCACTTGGAATATAATTAAACAAAACGTTTTCCATTCTTTTGTCGGTGTGTTGACGAAAAAAATTCTGAGCATGTTTTCTATATGCATTATTTTAACACAATTTTATCATGGTGTATCATAATAAAAAATAATGAATTATTAATTGCTATTGTGTTGACTGCGTCAAATAAAAATAATAATAGTTCATACATTATTACAGTATAGCCACTCAATTTATGGGACGGTCACGCGATTGGCTAACAGCTAGTTGTGTGCACAGTGAAGTGTATTAGTATTGTGCACACGTAAACATACAAACCTGAAACCTAAACCGAAGTTAGTGCAAACCGAAGCAGCTCCCCGGCTCCCCTGCGATTAATATAGTTTAATCAAAGTGTTGCTAAACATGCTTTTGAAAGTATGTACATGTATTCAATAACTTTTTGTATTCCAAAACATTTGCAATTTGATACAGGATTTCAATTTCATTATTGTTTACGGTAATAATTATAAAATGGGTAAACGAATTCGTCTTTGAAATTATTATTTAATTAGTCGCATTCACTAAAGACACTGTTAATAGTTATTACGTATTTCCATGATCAATAAATAATAATTAAATATTATATGATTGTAAAAAGTTAGTAATTACTTTTTGAAGTTATAAATCAAATAATCACCATAAAAATAGACGTTTTTTCTATGTATAAAAACTAAAAAGGTATAGCAAATTTCTCATTACTTCTCAATATTTTTAGTAATTTTTTTTTCATCTATTGAAACTAAAATTTTGTTTTTAAACCATTCTAATAAGTTTATGATTGATACCAATGAGAGCTATTAGAAATAAAATAAAATGTTCAATATAATATTGCAGTTATGTATTAAACAATACAAAACTGTACACAATACATGTTGTATTTACAGTGAAACCTCCCCTAACGGACACTATGGGAATATCTGATGACTTTTTGGGAATCAACTATAAGCATTTCTACAATTTGAACCCTCTGAACAGCGGGCATTTCTGAATAGTGGACACAATTTCAACGACCGAGTGTCCGGTATTTAGAGGTTTCATTGTATATTATAATCTTTTGTAGATCATTTATATGTAAATTATAGTTTTAAAAAATACTTTTGTTGGTACATAGGTACTACATACTACATAGCCACAAATACATAGGTACATAGGTAAGTAGAATATGACGATTTAAACAAAAATCAACATGGTAAATTGAATTACCATGTAGGTTTAACATACATGACGTAGGAGTAAAAAACTAAAAATGTAAGTAATTAATAATTTATTATTGTATGAGCACGCGGTGACAACGGAAACATTTTGTGTGTTGGCAAACAATTTATAATATTATAGAGTATCGCTTTAATCAGGGGACCATATAAAGCTAAATTTTTACTACGTAAATGTTTATAAAAAAAAAAGTCACTGAGTTCATACACTGAGCTACGTTCAAAACATTTCATATAACTCATTTCATAGTAAACGTAATAGCCAATAGGTATGTGATTGTGATATTGACTAATAAACTGAATAATAACCATACTACCACGATCAACTGCGTTATCAATTACTAAATTATTTTGTAATGAATGTAACAATACATTAGTTAATTAAATATTCATAATATACCATATTATTATAGCAAAACAAATAAATTATTTCGAAGCAAAATAATAATATTAATAATAATTTGCACAAAACATTACATGTTATTACAATTCCTATAAAATATAAATAGATAACATTAATAAATCAACATTCCACATTCATTGATAATAGTTAACTAGTTAACACTTAGATAATTGATTTATCTATATTAAACTTTAGAATTAGTCTAAACAAGAAGTAACAATCATCGTGTAATATTTTTTTAAGCCATAGAATAAATTACCACCATAGGTAGAATGTAAATACACAAACAATAAAAAATAGTATTTAAATATTATTAAACGTATCAGAGATTATATATAAATATATGTTTTGTTATTTTCTATGATTGCTCTTTCTGAAAAAGAAATTAATTTTTATTTACATTACTAGTTTTTTTGTGTATGTTTTTTACTTAGATTTTAAATTAATACTTAAAAATTTTGCTAAATTATTTAAAGTCGAGAACGTTAATTTTTTTATTATCACTGGAATATAAACTAATTTATACAAATTAACAAAAATCAATATTTTTATACTTTATTGGAATATACTATACTCTTTGAAACAAACCTGTTGATATTATGTTTAGAGGTGTATAATGTATGTCTAGTCATTTAAATGCAATGATAAATCATCGTTAAAATATGGTATAAAGTGAAGTTCATTTATTGATGAACAAAAAGTTGACAACTTATTTAAAAAAACAATTTATCGACTGAAATGAATTCACAAGATATTTTAATAAGAGTGGCCGAGTGTGAATAAATCTCTGACAGTTAAAGATAAGAAAAAAACAATTAACAATACTACTAGTTAGTAACACAGTAATGCACTGCAATATTTTTATCTATTTGATTAAAGATTACACGTTATATTATGCAATCAATAATATAAAACATATCAATCTTGTTATTAAAACATAAACAAAAAATGAACTATATTTGAACTTAATAAACTTACGAGGTAATATGTACACTTATGGCTTATAATATTTTAAGACACACAAAATACTCAAGAGTTATTTAGTATATAATAATACGTGTAAGTCATTAAATATATAGATACATATGATTACAGATATGCATACTAAATATAAGGTTCAATATTTTGTTTCCTTTTTACTCGTTCAACCGTGTGAAATATTTTTAAATAAAAAAAAAAAAAAAAATAGGCAGGTAAAGCAAGTATAAAAATAAAAATTATGGTAGGATCGTCAATCTTTGTTTTAATTTTATAAGTAATTTCAATATTTACAAGTTATTGATTTTCACATTCCATAAAAAAATTAAGTCACGGTATGTCTTACTTTTCAAATAGAATTTGTCATTATTTAATTTTAATGTAAAGTAAAATCACTAATTTTAGATGGCGTTCGGTTGAATCAAAATAAATAAATTATACGGACCCGAAATGTTGCAGCAGGAGAGAAGATCTTCCCTCCATTTAGCATTTTGTTAACAACCTTTATTTGGATGTTTTTTCGATGGGACCGCAATAGGGTTGAATAATCATTTTTTCCAAATGCGAGCGGGTATCTTTTATAAACTCAAAAAGTACGATACGATGACGATAATATTAACGAACGAATCTTTTATAAAAGAAAATATTATCTGTTTACTTTTAATCCGTCTTAATAAAACATTTCATAATATGTATAAATACATTTTATGTACCTACATAGTATATAGTATATAGTATATATGCACTATGCAGTATACACTGATACATATATACGTATACAAAGTTTTGATGATATGATTATAAAATGTTTGAATACTACTCTTATGATTTACAATAATATATATTTAGGTCGTCAAGACCATTATTAGAACAAATAAAATGTATCTACGATAAGTTAAAAGCTTTAACTGTCATTTCATGGTCAAGTTAACACACTATACTGTTCAATATTAATTACTGGTGTAGTAGTTTTTATATAACTATATAGTAACAGAACTAACAGTGGACAGCGATAATACTCTGTCAATAAAGAATTTAGACGTTTTAATAATTGATATAGCGTATAAATGTATATATATATATATATATATATATAGCGATAGCGTCGAAAACAAAAGTTCACTAAATACGCCGTTCACAATGATCAGATAAAAACTATTAATTCGTTAGACAACAAACTTGAAGCGTATTTTTTTTCATAAAGCTATATAGGAATATCCGCCCTAAACACATACGACGTTTGTGAATCGTTGACGGAAATTGTCGGGTTTTAAAAAAGCAAAATACTGTAAGTACCTGTAATAACAGCCGATTAGATTGGACGCGAAGGTATGATTTCTGCGACTGCGTGAAATGTGAATAACATCGGTACAGATAGGTACATAGGTACTATCGCTACGATTATAAACACTTTCTTCGGCGGTCATTATGTATATAATATTATTATTATTTATTATTATAAACTGCTTAGTGAGTCATTTCCGGAAACCGAAAACGGCGGTATATAATACTGTCGCGCGCATTTAGTGGCGAGAAAGATGTACGCCGAGAACAATAATTACACATCACATAATACTATATTAATTATTATTTAGCTGGGGGTTGGCCGTCTTCGGGGTGAGTCTCGCGAAATATTATTTAGGCAGGAAAGCGCACGGCGGCCGTGGCGGAGGCTGCGAAAGAGGAAAAGAGCGAGAGAGAGAGAGAGAGAGACATAAGTCTACGGCACTGAGTGAAGAAAACGAGAGTCTACCGAGAGGGAGAGAGACTGTGTCAGAATAGAGAGACTGAGCGAGAGAGACGGAAATCGTATGTACATATATAATACATAAGTACACACATGTGATATACATACGTACACACTCACATATATATATATATATATATATATACACACACAACCCGTCGAAAAGTAATTTAAGGTGGAACCGTTTAGCTTTCAACAAGCGACGGCGAAGGCGGCGGCGGACCCTATAAAAGGGTGGGGACGGCACGAGACGGCGCGGCGGAGAGGAGCGCACGCCCCGCGCACCCGTTCAGTAGCTGTTAAACTCGCATTACAGTCACGTTTATAGTCATCAGCCGACCGTTCGCACGGACGTTATACACGCGCGCGCGTCCTCGTTCTCGTCGCCGTCGTCGTCATCCTCCTCGTCATTATAATTACAGTGTAATATTATTGTCTCTCACTCTGCACCAGTGGAACGTTTGCGTGTCTCATTGTCGTGTACGGTTTATTTTTTTTTTTATCCATCATCGTTACTTAATTATTATTATTTTTACCGTCTTAAACCGCGCAGCGTGTGTCCGGCCGTCTCCGTCGCTGCACGACGGGTCGTTCTTAAATTTTATTTCGGCCTAGTGTCACGATCATTCCGAGTGTCACGCGCGATCTTCGCCTCGTCTCTGTGGTTCGCCGACGTGGAGTTTCGATAATACAATAATATTATATAATACCGTACAGTGTGCCTCTATCGTCGTACGTGCGCTAAGGGTGGTTTCGCGTCGTCCGCGGGCGCGCGTGAGATGCGTCGTCGTCATCCGTCGTCGTCCGTCGTCGTTATTCGCACCGGTGTGACGCGATCCGTGTGAGATGTTGATGATGATGGACTGCAGCAACAGGAAGCCGCCGGCGGACCTGTCATCCGCCGTGGTCGTAACGGCCGTGTCGTCGCCAGAGCTGGCGGTTGCTGGCACGTGGCACCCCCACGTGTACGGCAACCCCCCCAGGACGCCAACTGCCCACAATGTGGCCGATATACTCGGATGGACCAAAGCGGGTCCCGACGAACAGCCCCTAAACCTGTCGACGGCCAAGCGGCCAAACGGCACCGTGCTGGACTTGACCAAGATCAAACGCAAAGGTAAGACGACCATATTTTTGTCATTATTGTTACCCACCCATTGTAGCCTAGAGTTGTATACCAAGTCGCAGTGGCTCAACCAGGGGGGTAGTCCACGGGTCCGGACTCTCCCCGCCTAGCTGATGTCATACTTGGCATTTTTTTATCTTTTAAAGATTTCCTGACATTGTCATAAAAACTTATTGATATCTTATATGATAAATAATTGTGTTTACTAAGCGATAAAATGTATGTATACGTATTACGCAGGAAAAGAACAGAAAAAGTACTTAATTAAATAATTTGTTTTTGGACCCTCTCCCCCCTCTCCCCTTGAATAAATTCTTGTTGCGCCACTGCGCCAACTTGTATGGGTAACGTGTTACCAACAGCTTTGTTACCTCGGTTAGGTATACGTAATATAATACATTCATACGGGATACGACACGGTGTGAACCAGGCTTGATAACAATAATAATAAAACTGTTTGTTTTTAACCATCGTCTCGATCGTAGTTGGTACCGACCGCGGGATACGTGATGTAAAGTGGTACTACTCGGTAGTGTACATACCGTGTTATATGTTCATCTTTGTACTGCGGTAATGTCGCAGTTACCAGCAGCAGGGATTTGCAGGTGCATCACTATTTGTGTAACATTATATAATATACTAAAATATTATTTTATATATTCACTAGATTTTTTTTTTAAAACGTTCTTCTCGTCGCGTCGTGACTGTGCTGTTTTTATTCTCGACACAAAACGCTCCGTGCGCTGCGCATTCGTTCGCCGTTTTGGTATTTTTTCCTCCGCTGTTTTATATGATATTATTTTTTCCTCTTCGCCTTGACTGCCGCAGTCTTCGTTTTTCAATCTCACGCCGTTTTCGTCCGCGCGTAACAAATCACGACGACGGCGCCACGTCCTTCGGTCTCGGTGCAATCAATAGATCATCACGGATCTGAGATAATGTCACTCGCCGCGACGAGCTCGAAAAATGTTTCCAATTACGACCTCACCGCAGCAGTCGAAATCAATCTCCAGGTACAATTTTTTCCATCTTTACAGACGATGAACGACCGATTTCATTCTAATCCATTATGTGCATTAGTTTTACGTGGTAGGCTAAATTAGGGTTATTTTTCCTCCCGTCCGTAACTAGATATTATATAATATGTATTGGTATAATTCTATACCTAAATGTTATGGGTAGGTAGTTCATCATAGAAGTCTCGCAATGCACACTATATTAAATTATTGTGGTCACATTTTCTACGATAAACTATTTTTTCCGCCTCTCCGGGCCGGCGGTATTACATAATACATATACATACCTGACTCGTCGAACGACGTTAATTATCTTCGTGCCGTGTACGATAAACAATGACATATAGCTGCAGTTTTTTCCTTCCGTATTGAACCGTTTAAAGTAGCGTATACGCGATTGCACAGTAAAAATTCTATTCGGAAACGATATGGTACGCGTTCATTGTCATATTAATATACAGGTGTGTGTGTGCGCGCGCGTGCGTGCGTTTTCGATGTTAAGGTGTAATTGCGTTGACGTCTTAATAACATAATGTCTCGTTTACACTGCACGGCGGGAGTGCATCGGCGTCGTTTCAGGTGCAGTGCAGGCGCCAATAACGAGAATTGAATAAAAAATAAAACCCATACGGGACTGTAAGCGCATTACTATAATAATAATAATAATAGTAATAATAGTAAATAAGCCTATTACGAGTTAACCGTATGTACGTAATATTGTTTAGGTGCAACTAGCTGTCCACCGTTAAACTAGTTTAATTTATATAATAACGTTTTTATCGTTAAAAATCCAACATAAACAAAATTAAACCATTTAAAAATATCGCTCAAGACAATTAAATAAATGTTCCACCCGTCTTACCCTACGTCTCTAACCACACAATACATTCAAGATGAGATTTGTTCAGAAAGAAGCAAAACTATTTTACAAACATTTCCGCAGCAATTTAGCCAGCCACCCGAACCCATTTGTAAAAATTCTAGCAGTCCCTGCGATCCCCACTAATCACTCCCCCCTCAAGACGTCTTAAACGCAAATGGTGACAAGGTGTCCGGCGACCTGCTAGATAATATAATTTCATCATATTATATTGTGGTATGACTTTGACTTAAAAATCAATAATCCCGAAAATCCAAACTTTAAGTATTGAAATAGGCAGTGCTATCATCAGTGGGTGTGGGCTTCTTCCGTCGAACGATTCGTGTAAGACAAACACAAGCCATACATCTCTCTCGATTTAAATTTGCTTATTGTTCCTACGGATAGATGGCAAAAAAACTTATTAAAATAAAAACCGTTTTTTTCAAATACGAATACAAAGCGGGTCCGGTGCAGTGACGAATAATCGATGGTATGATTTCAAATTTGTATCGTATGCGGGAGACACGCGTGGTTCGAATGTGCAGAAAATAATAATAAATAACAGTCACCCGTTTCGCAGCGACGTGACAGGTTTTTCCGCGAGCACGCGGTGTAGTGTGACTGTGGTGGGGTAAACGTTGCGTTATATTATTATCCCGTCATCCTCGCGCGTGGTGACTATAGGTCCGTCAGTGGCGGCGGCGGCAGTATAATCGATCGGTATAATTTCCCTCGTCCTCTCGCCGCAATAATTGAACGCCAAGCCGTATATAATTGATAATCGCCCGGCTTGTTTGCGTCTACCGAGTGATGTGCGTTATATTATATTATATATATAGAGATACCACCCGTCGACACGACTGCGCTAAATGGTACCTATGTACCCAAGTACCTAACCATACCTACCGATATATATCTGTGCACGCACAATCGTCACAATCTACCCCATAATCGTCGCTATCTGTAATACGAATTGCTATTTTTTTTTTTTCGAAGGTGGGGTACCACTCATTTGTCCAACCGGTTCGCGGGCCTCCAAAATTCCGAAATCGTTATTCGATATTTTATTTCGGTTTTTTTTTCGCCGCTACTATATACGCCGAAGACGAAAAATCTATTTTTTAGTAGAAAAAAACATGTTTTCTTTATGTACCTACGTAGAAGAGAAATTTCGAAGAAACGCCAAAACATCTACGAACGATTTTACACCGGTTTTCGGCCAATCGCAGCTTATATTATACATACGATATACCTATTATATGACTAATATACTTGTGATACATTTTAAGTAAGACACTCATAATTTTAAGTTGTTAAAAAATATACACTTTTTTAATGATAACATTCATTTTTAAATTCTTGGTTTAAAGCAACATATTTTTTAGAGTATGTACTTTGATGTATGAAATTTATATTAGTTATAAGTTATAACTTATAAGTATTTAAAGTTTAGATAAGTGAAGTTGAGTGGCACGGGGATACCCCTCAAAATGTTGGTCGACTATAATACTCCTCTCATTAAAACCTTAAACAACTTATAACAAATAAACAACTATTTATCCGAAATTTGATTTTTATAGATCAATATACTCCTAATCATATTTTGCTTCAGAATATGAAATTAAAAATGTATGTTATCATTCAAAATAGTAAAAACTTAAAAAATAAGAAAGTTACTAACACCTGAAACATAATTTTCTTTCAAGATTACCTTTTTACATAATCACTTAAATCAGTCCACCTAATATTACGTAAAAGAAATAGTTTCCAAATACATAAATGTTTTCTGAAATAATAAGTGTCAAATGGATCACTCCGTATATTCTTAATATAATATACTGTCGCATTATAGAAATTAATACACAACCTATAGTATATTGAGTAGTATTGACTATTGAGTACATAATTAATAAAGTTATTTGGGGATGGTCTGAAAATATTTTTAGGGTGCTAAAGTCACTAATTTGCGTCCATTATTCCATTATGTATTGTCGACCCATACAAAATTTGCAATTTTTGTCAACAGTTATCCATTAGAAAATTCCGATTTAATAGTATTAATTTATAAATTTATAACATAGATTACCGTCGAAAAACCCGCTTTGATTTGCCGCGGAGATAATTAGGGCGATACGAGAATTATGGGACACACGCTGTATATTATACTGTATTTCGCGGTATCATTTAGATACCAATATTGCAGTACGTTAGAGAGATATTATATACCGGGAAATCGGAAACCCGACTCTTATTATAATAAGTAGGTAGGTATGTTGTATTAAAATATATAATAGAAATAAGTACATAGTTATAACATCGAGATGGAAACGATCTTGTAAGGCTATTATATTATTATGTTGACGGCCGTGGTATTTCGCACTCGGTGGTTTCTTTTTCTTTCTTTTTTTCTATACTTTTTACGGTTTCGAATCAATGAACATTATACTGTGCCCGCGTCGTCGTCGTTGCATGTTTAACAAACGTTTTGGAAAGCAAACACGACGGGGACTAATTATTATTATCGTTCAGTCCTTTCGCGTGATTCATTAAAACAGTTGGTTGTTGCCGTCCGCATAAAATATAATATTATTTAGGGACGCTAGGAAATGCGCGTTCTGCTTTATGTATAGCTAAACCCACGTTCAATTATAATTATTTATCTTTTTTTTTTTTGATAACCAGTATTTTAAATAGTGTTCAATCTACTCTACATATATTGATACAAAATAATTAGTATATTATTTAATATCGAAGTTCATAACTCGATTTTCGAGTATTTGTTACTTTTTTCATTTAACTAAAAAACATATAGGTATGTACACAGCGCCGTTATATTCGTATCGAATCTAGTAAATGTATATTATGTATACACATAAATGTTTTTACTCGGAAGTCGCGTTTGGAAAATGTTTCAATGAGTCACATTTAATGTACGCAATTTTAATTTTTAATTTTTTTTGTACGCATGCAATCCAATTTGCGTGTACGCTAAACATTAAAACATGGACGGTTTTCGACGAATCAGACCATGTGATATTATTAGTTTCTTCTCTGGAAGCACATACTTGTATCATTATATATTTAGTGGATCCCGCTATGACACATGAACTACA